TGGTTTTAACCGGTTGTAGCTGTATGCAGTCGATACAGAGCCGTTCCTGATCTGTTTGCAGCCGATATAGAATTGTTGTCGAGCAGTTTATTTCCAAGAGCTGTCATTCAACAGCGGTTTTGTGTCGTCCGTTTGTCGACCACTATTGCTCACTAGTTTTTGACAGTTGTTTTTGACTTGTTCGCAACCGTTTCTGATCTGCTCATAGCTCTTTCTCACTCCGTGCATAGCCGTATGGTAGCTGTCCGACACCCGTTCTTGAACCGTTCGTCGTTGTTTATTGTCATCCCATAGCCGTTCATAGCCATCCTTGCGATTCATCGTCATCCAATAGTCGTTTTCTAACCCCTTTGATTGCTATTCGTTAACCGTTTTTTTTAATCTAGCGATATGAAGCTCGATTATCACAATGCGCAGCGTTTACACGTCTTTCTCCAACGCAATCACCTTCTCATCTGACTCTTTTTGTTGATTTCTCAACGTTTTTAAGTTTATGATACTCGAGTTAATTTACAATAAAACCGGCTTCACGAAGCTCCTCGATGATAGACAGCATCTCGTTGTCATGCGCGTTGTGACCAGCTCGGTGCGAAGCTTCGAGCAATCGTAAGCGATCGACTAACTCATTGGGATCGTCCCAATGCACGTAATCGATCGCATTGTCGTTTAGCGTCATGGTGCTAGGTAATCCTTTTCCAGATTTCATTTTAGACCGCGTCTGTACTCCTTCGTTCGGCAGTAACGGTGCGATTACATGTTTGTACTTGTATCCTCTGGTACCCAATATCTGGCCATGCGCGCTATAATTACGTCTATACGCATTTGTCGCCAGCAGTATGCTCCTGTACTTTTGCAGATCGTCTTCCGTGTATACTTCATCATCTGGAATTCTCTTGAAAATTAGTTCGTAGAGACCCGGTGTGCCTTTGTATCGCACGCCATCGATAAGTATGTTATCATCGATGTCCACTTCGAAGTGTTTATCACCAAGCAACAGTTTATCCTTGCCAACATGAACACCGTACACGAAATTTATATAATTCTTTGCGCCACTCTTTTGGGAAGATGATCCGCGTAAGACAGCCTCGATATATTTTTTACTCAGCTGACCCAGGTGCTGCAATGCTTTTTGACCCGTTTCCGTTTGTATCTCGCGTTCAACGAATACAGCGAGCGGTTCGCCCGTGTTTTCGAAAACATCTTCGAGTTCGGAAGGTTTGCCGATCGGTGTCTCCGCCGCCGCCGGTGTCTCATGGCTGGTACTAATAACAGCGATAAAAAACGCGGTGATGTTCAGACAAATGATATCGACGAAAATGAAGAATATCCGATAGTGCTGCGCGCTAATCACAATACGATGAAGAGTGAAATTATAAGCGCCTTCAGAATAAACTTTAACAAGCCTAACAGCATTGGATCGCTTCTGGGATTCTCATCGACGCGTATATTGCAACCGCGAAAATGGCACGAATCGGACCTACCGATTAACATTATCAACGTAAATATTATCCGCGTAGAGTGCAATGTGACCGCGGGTGCGTACAGCAACAACAAGCCCGTGCACACAATACACGAGTTTTCGCCGAGCGTGCCGCCGGGATATAAGATGTCGATAGCGCCATCGCAAATCATTTATCTGCCGATCATCACACGGAGTATTACGGATCTAACCATACGCGTTGTCGACCAGAACGGACGATTGCTCGATTTTCGTGGAAAAGAGATTACCGTTAGATTGCACGTACGACGCTGTAAGCGATAACGTGCGCGCGCGTCAGTGTATATGCTATGCTCGTATTGAACGGATCGGAGCAAATTGTGAGAAATAACGCAATTTTGAAGAAGCCAACGATATCAACGTTTAATCGCAGTATCAAGTCATCCAGGAGCTGCAAGAAGAAAAAGCTCAATACATCAAACGTGGAATTTTTAAAATCATTGGGATTCGCGGTGCGAAACATTTGAATAATTACTGACATCCTCAACATCGGGAAGGAGCCAATCTTTGACGATCGCATCGTCAAGATTGAGACTCACACATACAATCCATTCGCCAACACAACATTTGGATACAGCGATGAGACACGAATACCTATACAACAACAGGATCTCTATACGTTGCCACATGAAAGTTTTCTGTACATCGAGGGAAAACTAACAACAGCCAAACAAATCGAAGGATCTGATGTAATACTGGGAAATAATTGCGTCGCGTTCATGTTCGATGAGATTCGATATGAACTTGACGGCGTGGAGATTGATCGTACCAGAAATGTCGGAATAACCAGCACGCTCAAGACCTATGTCTCGACATCATTCGATAAAATGGTATCTCTGAAGAATGCCGGCTGGGATGTGTCGAACAATGGGAAGGGAGATTTCAATTTTTGCGTACCGCTCAGCATGCTATTGGGATTCTGTGAAGATTACAAACGCGTGGTGATTAACGCTCGTCACGAATTGATTTTAATACGATCGCGCAACGAGAACAATTGTCTGTTTGGAACTATAGCACTGGAGCCGCAGCTTGAAATATTCAAGATACAATGGCGAATGCCGCATGTGCTGTTAAACGAGGTGAACAAGCTATCGATGCTGCGTGCTTTGGAAAGCGGACAATACCTTAACATGGGTTTTCGTTCATGGGATCTCTATGAGTTTCCACTATTGCAGCGGACGACTAAGCATTCGTGGGCTATTAAAACGGCTACTCAGCTCGAGAAACCGTGGTATGTTATTTTCGCTCTGCAAACAAATCGAAAGAATATCATGTCTGAGAATGTGAGTCAATTCAATCACTGCAAATTGAGCAACGTAAAACTCTATCTGAACTCGGAATGTTATCCATATGACGATATGAATCTGGATTTCGATAAAAGCAAATGGTCGAGTCTGTATGATGCGTTTTCACGATTCCGGAAGAGCTATTGGGGAAACGATGATCTTGCAACAGGTCTCACTGTCGACAATTTTCTAGAATATGGTCCGTTTGTGATCATCGATTGTTCTCGACAAAACGAATCGGTCAAGAGCGCGACTGTGGACGTGAGATTGGAATTTGAGTGTAAAGAGAATGTACATGCGAATACCACTGCGTACTGCCTCATTATACACGATCGAGTGGTTCAGTACAACCCGCTAACCAATGTGCGCAAAATCACCTAAGTCTGACTGTTTGAAAGAAAACTGGTTCCCCCCTCTTTCCAATACCGTTTAGAGGGGATGAAAGGATTTAAAATCTGCTGAGCATCAAGACCAACCGTAATATTTCCCCTTCTCTCGACGTGTTCGAACAAGTCTCGACGTCTCCAAACCAACGTTTTGTGGACCTGCAAGGTTTTATCGTTGCCAGAAACTTTTGAAAAAAACCGGTTTCCCCCTCTTTCCAATACAGTTTAGAGGGGATGAAAGGATTTAAAATCTGCTGAGCATCAAGACCAACCGTAATATTTCTCATTCTCTCTCGACGTGCTCGAACAAGTCTCGACGTCTCCAAACAAGTCTCGACATGTCCATACCAACGTTTGTGGACCTGCAAGGTTTTATCGTTGACAGAAACTTTTATGTAAAAGAGTTTGCCTGTCTCAGAGAAGGACATGTTCTCTCTCACTACATTTTCGCATGTCCCGTACCATGGAAATGTCTCACCAAAGCGGAGCAACACCAAGCATCCTGGTTGATTTCAAATCGTCACGGAGTACGATGGGAAGACGGAATGATTCCATACAGTAGAGCTAAAAGTTTGATTACAACAGCCGTGGTTGGTACTGAGAAGGAGGATGATGACGACAGCGATGACGAGACGAGATTTTCTCTCGTATATGTCAAGGGATTTGAAAAACGAGAATGGCTGCGAAGGTTACTCCTGGACGATGTGCGAGAAAATGTTTATATCGAAACTATCGATGCGCACTACGAAGATATACAATCTCTAAATAAATTGGACGTTGCGCGCACTGTGCGTTGCCATAGACATGTAGCAAATTGCGCTTTGCAAAATGTTTTTAAACTTTACAATTGGTGGTCTAACCATAAAAATATGTAACAACATGTGTTAAGAAGTGTATTCAATTGCTGGTGTAAGCAAAATAAATATACTACTTGGGAAGGGAAAATAGAATGGATTGGAAGAAAATGTATGTCATTAAAAAAATTTTAATCTCATTTTATTATCTCAATTTATCAAAATACATCACCCCGACTTTTGGCTTCGGCAAGAATTTCTTTTACGGCATAAGCCATTAATTCGCACTTTATGATTGAAATAAATTCACAATTTTCGATTGAATTTTTATAGTACATGTCGTGTAGGATTCTAACTGCATCGTTCGGTGTATCACATTTTTTTTCGCCACTCATCCATATATCTTGTAAACGCACAACGAGTTCTTCGAAGATTTCATGTACTGTTTCTAGATCATCATACAGTTGAAAATATATGCGATCTACACAGTGTTCCAGTTCAAATAAAAATGATATGGTTGATGGTTTCATGTACATAAAAGTATTATTTAATGTTACTTTTAGAATATTTCCGTGGCGCGTTCTAACTAGTTCTAGAGCTAAATGATTAAACTGTACCGCTGATGATGATGCCGCATCTGTTGCCTTTAGCAGCTGGTCTATTTTTGATGGATTTTTTCTGTATTCTTTCCAAATTGATTGATCTAACTCCATCTGATGTCCTTGATTATCGCCGAGAATTATTTCTATGTAGGATGCACGAGGTACTACTCTGATCCCAATTTCTATATATTTGAATGCTGCAGATGTCAGCGGTAACCTCCTGCACATGATACGCGGCGGGTTACGAGGTTCATCAGAACTGAAAGAATATATAAATTAAAATAAGTACAATTATATGTGGAAAAAATGTGTGTAAATATGCAGTAGCTTTATGGTACTTACACGTTACCACACAGTTTCTT